AACACCTTAGCGCCCTAGAGTCTGTCAAACAATTCTGAGATAAGGGGAATGGGATAAGCATTTTTGATGGTGATCTTGTTCAATGCCCTATAATCAATACATGGCAGTAACTCTCCTCCTTTCTTGGTAACAAAAAAGAACCCTCCACCTGCAGGAGAAGAAGATTTACGTATGTGGCCTTTTTGCAAAGACTCTTTAATGTATTCTTCCATAACTCTACTCTCCTGTGGTGATAAGGTCCATACTCCCCCTTTAGGGGGTATAGTGCTGGGTAACGGATGTATGGAGCAATTATAGGATCTGTAAGGGGTTAGCGTATCAGTGTGACTTTTATTAAACACTTCTTTAACCTCCCTATAATGCACAGGAATTTCGGTAGACTGAGGCGTAGGAGTAGGTAGATTAACGACACCCACTCTTTTTTTTTTTTTTTAATTCTTTATTTTTGCGAGTTTTTGCACATAGTATAACATATTTCAGTGAGCAGCAGGTCAATGATTCCAACAGTACAAGTATACATTTGTCACCTAGCTGGGCCTACTCATTTTTTGTTATTTAGGGGCTCATACACCCAGGCTTCCCTATAGGTGGTCCTTGGGCGTGTGGGTTGGGGGGTGCTGGTATTGGGCTGCATGCGCCTTGTGGCTAATTTGCGTCGCGCCATGATACATAAGCTGTAGTAAGGCGCTTATTTAAGGTGTGTACAGGTATGGAGCTTCTCAACGCTGGGTATGTGTTTTCGCATAGTAGCGCTGGTTTGTCAGATTGGGGTCATGCGCGATATAATCAAAGGTCAGCTACTTTTGCGCAGTAGTTTCGCTTGGCACCTTGTGCTGATGGGGTGGGGGGACATGGTTACTTTAACGTAGAACTACATCTAAGGCCTACGGAGCCGGCAACATAATAACAGAGGCAAGATAGATAAACGTTATCAACATTAGAGGAGAGCGACAATTATAGAACTTTCTAAGATGTATCCTGCATATGATAATACACAGGTACATTCAGTCCCCAAGTTCAGGGTGGCAGTTCAACTGCCGCGGGTGCTCCCCCTCTGGACACAAATGGGGTGACGTTGGCTATATTCCAGGCTGGGTGGCCTGCCATCTGAGTGTTTTGCCGCTGTCCGGCCGAGGGCTTGCAGGAAGGTTGGGGTGTGATATGATATGCGCCATCCCCGCTTTATCGGCGAGTAATCGGCGGGGGCCCCATTTATAGGCGATGGATTTCTCTTGGAGAAGCTGGGTGATAGGCTTGAGAGATCTCTGCCAGGACAGGGTATGTCTGGAGGTACCCAGGGTATGTCTGGAGAAGTCCCAAAAAATGCTAGCTGTGCTCCCTCAAAGGACACTGTGGGAGTGCCTCTGACTGCCCCCATAATAACACCCCAATCAGAGTCCTGCACCAGTTTGAGCAGTACATCCCTGGGTACCTCTTGGGCTGCATTGGTCGCCTTACTGAGCCTGAAGCAAGAGTTCACCACCAGCTGTTTGGACTGTTTGGGCGTGAGTAGAGTGGCAAGGAGCCTCCTGCAGTAGTGAGGGAGTTCTGCTTCTGAAACAGTTTCCGGCACTCCCTTTATCCTTAAGTTGGGTGCCCTGGCTTTGTCCTCTAAGTTGGCTAGCTAAGTCTGATTTCTGTTTCTGCAGGGCACCTATGGCTGCATCAGTGGCTGACTGTGCGAGCTTGTGGCCTGTCATACTCTCTTCCACTGTGAGCATGCGTGTAGAGAGGGAGGACACTGCCTCTCATATTGGCGCCAGGTCTGCTGTGAACATGGCTTGGATCTCTGCCACCATGGCTTTGATGTCTGCCCTTGTGGCTGGGGCCGAGTCTTCCAGGGCTGTGGTCGCTGCTGGCCCTGTTCGCCGCCTCGGTGGAGGGGAGAGGTCGGCTGTGCTGCTGCCTTCCTCCAAGGACAGTGGCGTATAGGCCGTTGCAGGCGCCATCTTGGCGGGTGCAGGCCGCGCGCACCCTCTAACATGTAAGCTCATCGAGCAGGGCCCTCAGCCCCCTCTGTTCCTGTACATCCAGTGGTCTGATCTCAATTATGTGTCTGTTAGTCCACCCATTGTACAGCGCTATATAAATAATAAAATAATAATAATAATATAAGCGCCTATATCTTGGGAACCCGATCCCGGGTCTGGGTGCAGCTTTTTATTCTTTTTCCCCATGTTGTCACGGATCGGGGATCGGGTCCGTATCGCGGGTATTTCATCTGTTATTGATCTTTACTCAGGCCGTCTTGTGGAGCAGCTCCGAGACACGTCCAGCTCGTTTGGGCGCCAGCTCCACCGCCCGATACCCACTCTTTTAGTAATAGGTAACATACATCTCTCTTTACATTTTTTTTTTTTTTTAAATCTCTTTTATTGGTAATTTTGTGAATTATTCAGCAATTAATAGCAAGTGTATAGAATTATAACATTGTGGACACGCAGGTCCAAGAAACTTTAGCTCAATGTAGTTATGTACATAGGAAGCTTAAATGGACATCTTAACGTTGTATAACCAGGTCCGCTGAGCCTAAATCCTTTGAACCAATGTACATTTATGATCAGCACGTTGCATAATACAAAATTATCTTTCTCCACCTGACTTCGTTGCATATAACTATTGGCCGCCCCTTTGGCCGTGTTATTTCCTGAACGTGTCCTACAACTTATGGTTCTTCTCGTATTGCATTTAACTAGGGTCTTCTAGAGGTGTATTCTAAACCGAGGCAGGGATGCTTAGCTTTCAGGAAGCCCCGTGTGGCTATCCCTGTCTCCCTTTATGTACCGTTATGGGCCTGCCTTTACTATACTCATATGTGTTAATTTTTTGGATACTGTTGCTAATTTGTTGTATTCTGAAGTAGCCCTTTTTTTACTACTTCTCTACTGAAACTTTAGCAACTTAGTATCGAGTTGCACTATCTGGATATGTGCATTTTAGATTGCCTTTCTATGTCCCTTCATTCCTAGTCTGTAGCAGTTTGGTGTATTATAGAATTTATACATGGGATTTTTTATGATTTTTCAATAAAACTTTATTATTTTTTCACTTTGTGTAATACACGGTAGTGGGCAAACATATTTATATTGCTCCAGAGGGGTTACTAGTTCTGAGGGGATTTGTTTCCCGTGTTTCAGGGATCCTCTCTCCTCATTCTTTTCGCATATTTGTTAATATAAGGGTTAGGCCCTTTTTTAGTACCCCAGTAATCCATTTTCTTTGTATCTTTTTCGCTGGAATTCTTTCAGCTAAAGGTGCACTGTGTTTGTTATTTAGTCATTTAAGGTTTTAATACCTGGTTTACCGGAGCAATATTATACTACACTATATCATATAACATACATTTTTACTATTCATATTTACACTATGGCAGGTTTTTTATCTAATAGGTTGGGTAGTAGTATTTGGTGCAAAGACGCAGATAATGTTTTCTCAAATACAGAACTTAACTCCAGTATGGCTACACCCAATGTTAATCAATCATTTAATAAACTCCAGGGTCTATATAAAAAACAGATTCGTACTTCCTGGGAAATTTCCTCGTTAGAGAACTATATAAAAAAGAATATGATACCTAGAGGATTAAGGATAAGAAATATTCCATCCTCTCATTCTGAAAATATAGCTCTAATGGAGGAATGGGAAGCAGCAGCAGGGACATGTTCAAAAACATTTATGCAGATTATCTGCAGGTTTGAACAAGAACAATTAAAAACAGTAAATGGAAACCTGGAGGAAGAAATTAACACAATTAAACAGTTCCAGGATGATCCCAATTTTGTTTTCCTCGAATCCAGGCTGAAACAGAACCTGGATAAGTATCAGGAGACAATTAAATCAAGGAAACACCAAAAATTTCTAAGGGATCTACAGGATTACGATACTGGGAATGTTTATAAATTACTTAACCGTAGAGTAAGACGTACTTCAGAAAACTTATTAACGTCAGACTATGATTCATCCGATACAGACTCTAGTAGTCAACAAAATGTATCCGACTCCCAAATCCAACCCTCCACCTCTACTAGTAACTCTAACCCCAAGGGGATCCTTAAAAAAGGGGTTAATTTTTTAGCCCTAGACCACCAGGAGGAATTTCCAAGCCAACGTACGAGATAAAAGACTCGAACGCCAAGGGGAGGAAGAGGGGGAAGGGGAGGAGGGAGAAGGACACGATATTAAAGGAGACTTTAGGTTTAACCCACTCTAAATCCCAGGTTGTTAATTTGTCCTCGTGTATATTATCTCAGGATCAAATTAATGTTCTAGAACGGGGTCTCTCTTTTGTCCCAACTCCTTCGTTTGATAGATTTGAGTGGATCAAAGATTTGAATCTTTTTGTCCGAAAACTCGCTCTATTCGAATTCCATTCTATACAAAAAGAGAAAAAAGCGAGGGATTTAGGCCTTACATCTAAAGATTACCAATGTCTAACTACACTACTGTCCCTTTTAGAGGAGAATGATACAACTAATGTTTTGAATCGTACGGAACTGAAACCGAAAAGTAGATACACACCGAACTTTACCGGCTTCCGGAATATTGAATTATTCTTGGAGGCAGCAAAGAACGAAGTTGAAAAAATTAATGTCAAATCTTTTGATTACCATTCAAATAATAATTTAAATAAAAAGGAGAGGCTTGCTCTGGAATCACTTAATACAAATGCTAGCATTATTATTAAGCCAGCTGATAAGGGAGGCAATGTAGTAATTCTTGATACAAGCAAATATATAGGGATGGTGGAATGTGTCCTAAGCGATGAAAAAACATATAGGATCCTGAAATTTGACCCTACCAATGATTACTTGGGAAAATATTAGGAAATCTTGGACGAACGGGTTGCTATGAGGTGACGAGTACGAATTTATTCTTAATCGTCAACCTAGAATAGCAACCTTCTACTGCCTGCCGAAAATCCATAAAAATTTACAGGACCCCCCAGGGCAACCCATCGTCTCCGGGATAGACAATCTTACGCAGAATGGTAGCCTGTATGTGGATAAAATTTTGAGACCCTTGGTAGAGACTTTGCCATCATACATAAGAGATACTAAGCAAGCTTTGAATCTACTTTCTAATCTTAAGCTATCTTCAAGTGCAAACCTTTGTAGTTTGGATGTTGAATCACGTTATTCATCTATCCCTCACAATAGGGGTTTAGAACATGTAAGATTCTTTCTAAACCAAAGGACATGTAGAGATGACCTTCATGCAGATTTTGTGGTACGCCTTTTAGAATTTATCCTATCACATAACTATTTTTTGTTTAACACCAAGTTTTATCACCAAGTGAGGGGCAACGCGATGGGGACAGCTTGTGCCCCTTCATATGCAAACCTCCACCTGGGGTGGTGGGAAAAATAAATTTTTTCCTCAGAGACCTTGAGGGATTATCTCCCTAAGATTCTATGGTGGGGGCGCTATATCGATGATATTTTATTGGTATGGCAAGGGTCCCCACAGGAATTTGTAGATTTAGTGGAATGTTTAAACCAGAATACCGAGAACCTCAGATTTACATCGGAATTTGGTGGACATTCAATTAATTTTTTAGACATCACGATCTCCATCAATGAGGATGGGACATTCCATTCTACTTTATATAGAAAACCGACCGCCACAAATTCCCTGCTCCATTAGAAAAGTTACCATCCAAGGCCTCTTAAGGCGGGGATCCCGGTTGGCCAATATCTTCGCCTCCGGAGAAACTGTAGCAATGTAGCGGATTTCAAAATAAAGGCAAACCAACTTCGTTTGTATTTTAAGGAGAAAGGCTACCCAAACCGCTGCCTTAAAAAAGCTTATAAGAGAGCACTTGAAATTGATAGAAAAGAACTTCTTAGCGATCATCCCGGGAATAAAATCTCGAAAAATATAGGCGACATTCGGATGATTGCCATATACAATACAGGATGGTCCGAAGTAAGAAAGTGTTTGAATAGATTTTGGCCGATCCTTTTGAATGATACGCATTTGAAGGAAATTCTAGGCCCATGTATTAATATCACGGCCAGAAGAGGCTGCAACATTCGCGACCTATTAGTACCAAGCCATTTATCTATTAAACCACAGCCAAGAGACACATGGTTGGGTAACCCTCCATGTGGTTCTTATGGCTGTGGTAGATGCGTAGCTTGCAAATATATCTCGAAAGAATCTAAAGTAGTGAACGATAGCACTGGCCAAGTCTCTATCAAGATTAAAAACTTCTTCAATTGTAACACGAAGGGCCTGGTGTATCTACTGTCCTGTTCATATGGACAAAAGTATGTAGGTAAGACTTTCAGAGCCTTCAAAGAAAGGATTATGGAGCATGTAAGGTCCCCCAAGAATCGCCTCGAAACACCAATTTCAAGACATCTTAAAGAACATCATCGGAGTGATTCCAGTAACTTGAAATTTTGTGGTCTTGAATGGGTTAAGAGACATCCGAGGTGAGGGAATTATGATCGTTTATTGAGACAGAGAGAGTCTAGATGGGGTTTAAATTAGGGCTTCTCTTTCGCTCCATTTATTTGATCTGTTACACTGGAGTTATACACACGTATGTATGCATATGTATATATGCATGCTTGCGTGCTGTATCTGGACTATATCTCCCAAACCTAGTAATTTATTGATTTATAAGGACTTATTTTACTGTTACTGATCAATTTTGCTTGTGACTTACTATTGGATATGTCTTCTAATATTTATGAGTAAAATTTGATTTGGAAGAATATCTGTGGGGTTTATTCCCCCCTTTTTCCATTCTTTTGAGTATTTGACACTCCAACTGGACCTGCCAAATTTAGGACTCTTTTCTTATTTTTGTATTATTGTTTATTTTTTAATTTACCTCTCTTCTGTTCCCTCCATATTTTTAGTCCCTATTTCCCTTTGTTTCTATTATATTTATTACACTCTCCTTTTTGCTTTCACGGCAGCACTATCTATAATATTGTACTATTTGTTATTTACTCTTAAAGTGTGCTGCCCCATATTTAACTTTAGGGAGTGTGTAGTCTCGAATGGTAAATGAAAGGCAACGTAGTGTGATACTTTGTATCCTGCTGCGCAAGGATTTTAAGTATACGCACGCGCGTCTTTTGGCTAAACGCCAACTTTGGCACATGCCGAATAGCCTTTACGGGACGCATGCTTTTTCCCGGCTGAATGCCGGCACCTGACGCATGCGCATTTTGTCCTGTTTTTTACACATATGAATATGGGACCTCCCACCGGCAAATTAGTTGGGCGTAACGAAATAGAGACCCAGCCCACCTATGACGGGCGGTTGTTTTCTGGCGCCAATTGTAAGTGTATATAAGGGAGGGGATGAAGGGAGGGTGTTTGCACACTACTATGCCCTTGAGAAAGGCGGACATTACCGCCGAAACGCGCGTTGGGCTCTTTCTTTGTGGGGGGGGGTGGGGGGGATATGGGCAATTAGCTTTGCACTCCCTTTACTGCTTGAATTATAGTTCAGGGTCATTGACTTATTTAACTTTTTCTATTGCCTCCTCACTTTATTTTTCATTCTCTTCACTGACATCTTTCTGTCCTTTCGATTTACCAACTTTGACAGAGATATATGGAGCCATTATGGCCAAGATATATTAATTTATACTTGTAGTAAATCATTAGGACCATATATTTTTTTTTAATTTTTTTTTTATGTTTACATATGGATATTTAATAGTGAATAGTGAAGAGTTTATCTGTTTATTGTAGACTGGTCTGAAGGAACTGGAATGTGTTTTCAGCCTGCCTTTACTATTCTCATATGTGTTAATTTTTTGGATACTGTTGCTAATTTGTTGTATTCTGAAGTAGCCCTTTTTTTACTACTTCTCTACTGAAACTTTAGCAACTTAGTATCGAGTTGCACTATCTGGATATGTGCATTTTAGATTGCCTTTCTATGTCCCTTCATTCCTAGTCTGTAGCAGTTTGGTGTATTATAGAATTTATACATGGGATTTTTAATGATTTTTCAATAAAACTTTATTATTTTTTCACTTTGTGTAATACACGGTAGTGGGCAAACATATTTATATTGCTCCAGAGGGGGTACTAGTTCTGAGGGGATTTGTTTCAGGGATCCTCTCTCCTCATTCTTTTCGCATATTTGTTAATATAAGGGTTAGGCCCTTTTTTAGTACCCCAGTAATCCATTTTCTTTGTATCTTTTTTGCTGGAATTTTTTCAGCTGAAGGTGCACTGTGTTTGTTATTTGCTAGTGAGTAGTAGGTCTGTCCTTAGGTGGTATGTTTATGAGTTATCCGAAGAGGCCCGATGGGCATGGATGAGGTGGTTACAATGTTTGTTATTTATAATCTTCCTGATTATTCCCCATTACATGGTAGGTCCCTCATTATGATGCGTGTTTGTCCTATTTACGTATGTGTGTGCGTATGTTAAAGGTTACAAGTGGAAGTCAGAGAAGATTTAGTAGTAATGTAAGAGAAGAAGAGTTGCCCTTGGTCTCAGGTGTAGTTTAGGTAGGGTAGGGTAAAGCAAGTATGAATGGTCATGCTCCAGTGAGC